TCAGAGCAGTACCTAAGAACTTGAAGGGCTGTACATCTACAGAATCTGTGTGGTGTGAAATACAACTCCGCAATACGGACCGTCTTCTGGTTGGATGTGTCTACCGGTCACCAAACTGTCAAGATATTGGCAACTCTGAAACTAGAAGTTTAGTTGACGAAGCTTCCTCACTAAACCGCAGCCACGTTTTAATTATGGGAGACTTTAACTATCCTGAAATTGGTTGGCAACCCATACGGGCACCAGAGAGTGAAAACCACCCTGCATCCATGTTCCTTGAATGCTTGAGAGACTGCTACGTATTTCAACATGTAACAAAACCAACTCATGCAAGAGGAAACCAAACCCCACATGTGCTTGACCTAATTATCACAAATGAGGAGGGAATGGTTGAGGATCTATGCCATGAAGCACCACTAGGAAAAAGTCACCATGACTGCCTGTCTTTCAAATTTCTATGCTACCATGAGATATGCGACAATCCAAACCGCAAGTTCATCCTTGATAAAGGAAATTATGAAGGCCTGAAACAGGAAATGATTGGGACATACTGGGCACAGACCTTTGAAAACAAGTCAGCTTCAGCACAGTGGGAGGCCATGGAAGAAAAAATCCTAACAAGTTGCAAGAGGCACATCCCTATGTCGTCGGGAAAAAGTAAGAAAAATCGCTCTACTCCGGAATGGATAAATGATAGAATCAAACATCAAATCAAATCAAAAAGTGCAGCTTACACCTTACAAAGGTTATCTGGTACAGAGAGTGACCGTTGTTCCTATGCAAAATTGTGCAACCAAGTTAAATGGGAGTGTCGGAAAGCTAAAAGAGAGCATGAAAGAAAAATTGCAAAGGAAGCCAAAGAGAATCCGAAAGCTTTTTATAAATATGCCAGAAGCAAGCTAAAAGTCAATGCCACAGTCGGAGATCTGAAAAAGGCTAATGGCAGCCTGGCTCAAAATGACAAGGACAAAGCCAATACACTAAATTCCTTCTTTGCTAGTGTGTTCACAAAGGAGGATACCTCATCAATACCAGACTTCCAGGACAGACCATTTAATACTACACTAAATAAATTGGACTTCACATCTAAGGACATCCATAAAAAAGTATCGAACTTAGATGCCTCAAAAGCATCAGGACCGGATGGCATCTATCCCAGGATTCTCAAAGAACTGTGTGACGAACTAGATGAACCCTTACTTACCATATTTAAAAAATCGCTTGATGAAGGTGTGGTACCACAGCCTTGGAAGGATGGTCATGTAACTCCTATATTCAAAAAAGGTGACCGAAGCAATCCTGGAAACTATAGGCCTGTCAGCCTTACAGCAGTAGTATGCAAACTCCTTGAATCCTTGGTGCGTGATGCCGTCATAGAACATCTTGACTCAAACAACCTATTATCAGACCGCCAACACGGCTTCGTCCAGGGCAGATCCTGTTCAACCCAACTCCTGGCCTGCCTTGACATATGGTCTCGTACCCTTGACGAAAGAGGAAGTCTCGATGCCATTTATTTGGATTTCCAGAAAGCATTTGATACTGTACCTCACAAAAGATTACTGAATAAGCTCTATGGGTATGGTATCCGTGGAGACATACTCACCTGGATCTCAGACTTTCTCAAAAACAGGCGACAGAGAGTCTTTGTTAACGGGAAACCATCTGGACGGTGCCCAGTTCTCAGTGGAATTCCACAAGGTAGTGTCCTGGGTCCTGCACTGTTTGTCCTCTATATCAACGACCTACCGGATAATGTGAGCTCCTGGGTCCAGATGTTTGCAGATGATACTAAAGTCTTCAAGGAAATTAAGTGTAAAGAGGATGCAGAAAAACTCCAGTCAGATCTCAGAGAAATACAAAGATGGTCCGAGTGTTGGCAGCTCAAATTCAATGCAGCAAAGTGCAAAGTAATGCACTTAGGTTTTCTGAATAAAAAATATGAGTATAATATGGGTGATAATTCAAACACTATAAACCTATCCGAGACTCAGAATGAAAAGGACCTTGGTGTGAATGTTGATAATACCCTGACATTTAGTGACCATATCCGTCGGGCAAGTAACAAAGCCAATGGTATCCTAGCAATGATCCGCAGATCATACACTTATTTGGACTCTGACGTAGTACGTAGTTTATACATCTCTCTTGTACGGCCACTCCTCGAGTATGGGAATGTCGCTTGGTCCCCCATGTACAAAAAGGATGCTGAGCTCATCGAGAAAATACAGAGAAGGGCAACGAAGCTGGTTCCAGAACTAAAGGACCTACCATATCAAGAACGACTGCAACGTCTTAAAATCCCGAGTATGTATTATAGAAGGGCGAGGGGAGATATGATCGAAGTTTTCAAATATCTCCACAACATCTACAAAACATCATGCCCACTACAACGGGATTATAACACCAGGACTCGTGGACACTGCCTCAAGTTGAAGAAACAGTACTCAAGACTGGCTATCCGCCGCAACTTTTTCAGCCTGCGTGTGGTTGACTTGTGGAATGATCTGCCAGAAAGCGTTGTCACATCCAAGACGGTTAACTGTCTCAAATCCCGCCTCGACCACTACTGGTCAAACATCACCTTCACTTTGGACTATGTGACTGTTGCCAGCATCCATAGTAAATAAAGAATCAGTGATCTACTCATTTATTTATGAGCGACTAAAAGGCCTTAGGCCTATTACAGCCGTATCCTATTGATTGATTGATTGATTGATTGATAAGTAATAATAAGGGTACTTTTATCTTGAGTTCTGTGCCAATGTCCGTTAGCATTTTTCGCTCAGGGGTCATTTAGATGCTTCTTATGAGACTTGTATTTTGTTTTGGTAAACATGGTTTGTATCGTCAGTTAGCTGAGATTATTTCCGTTAATCTGGTATAACACATTAATAGGTTCTTAAATATTAAGATCCCCTGAGACACAGTATCGTGAAAAAAAATTTTTTTACATTACGTTTTTTATGAAATGAACAACAGAAAAATAATCGTTCGATTAGTCGACTAATCGATCAAATAATCGCCCGATTAATCGTTTTCAAAATAATCGTTTCCCCCCAGCACTAGTAAATATACAATATTGCCTCTGAAATTAAATTAAAATTAAAAAGTTAAAAAACAAATGAAGGCCCTTTCTTGAAGTCATAACTGAAATAATTGATGCAATTAACATGCAAATAGACATTAAAATATGCTTTGAAGGCTGTTAATGTGTTTAATTTGAGTTTTACATTTTTAAATGCCGTTGCCATGGCGACAGATCACTCGCCATCATCATTGGTATCATTATATATATTAATATATATTAATATGTTAAAATAGTTAATACTCTGACGCTATGATTAACAGAACAGAACTGTGAAGCTCGTCACGTGTCTCAAAGGTATATATATATATATTTATATTAATATGTTAAAATAGTTAATACTCTGACGCTATGATTAACAGAACAGAACTGTGAAGCTCGTCACGTGCCTCAAAGGTTGAGAAGGAGGGGCCGTTAGTCACGTGCCTCAAAGGTTGAGAAGGAGGGGCCGTTAGTCACGTGCCTCAAAGGTTGAGAAGGAGGGGCCGTTAGTCACGTGCCTCAAAGGTTGAGAAGGAGGGGCTTAGGTTGAGAAGGAGGGGCCGTTAGTCACGTGCCTCAAAGGTTGAGAAGGAGGGGCTTAGGTTGAGAAGGAGGGGCCGTTAGTCACGTGCCTCAAAGGTTGAGAAGGAGGGGCTTGAGGTACTGCGCACTGCAGTGAGGGGTACTACGCCTGGCACAAACAAAAGCCAAAAAGGGCACAGGGTTAAATGAGGAACCAACAAAAGGAGCCTAGTTAAATACAAGGAAATAGATACTAAACAAAAGCAACAAAACAACCCTCACTGTCAAGGGGGTATAAGCTAACAAAAAGAGACTGTTAGGAAACACAGTTATACTAGAGGACAAACAGTCAACATAATGCTTAGCTAATCTAGACACAATACTAATACGGAATACACACAAGTTAACCACCGTTAACAGAATTGTCTACAAAGAGCAAGTAGCGTGAGGCGTCTGTTCACACAGCAGAGCCTCCCGAATGATCACAGTCCATGGCCTTTGTAATCCTCCCCCAGAAGGTGTGCGCCGGATGTGTGCTGGGATTGGAGAACGTTGATCGAATCACCTCTTCGGAAGCGAGGACGGGACAGCCAATGACATCAAGGGAACCGCACAGCTCATTTGCATAGACACAGACAGAGTTAATAGGACCGGGGAGGCGGCGGCCGTATTTGTTTCATACTGCCTGTGCTGCAGCACCTCTTTTCACCCTCTGTCCGAAACCAGACCCGCTTACAGCTTTGTAAGTAATCAATCATTTTAAAATCAATGGTAAAGCAACAAATCGCCATTGTAACGAAAGACAGGACAGTGTTTCCACTAGGATGGAGTCATAGCAGCGGTGCTAAGGCACGCGGGCCCAGCAAAATGTGAGCGCGGAGCGTGTGGACATTTTAAGTGTGTGTGCGCGTACGAAGTGCGCCCCGCCATTGTGTTTCTATGTGTCTGCCAGCACAAGAAAGACACATACATCATTAAAGGCTTCAAATGTATTCAGTATTGTATGAACATTTTATAATTGGTGGTTGGACATCACATCCTCTAGGGGGGTCCGGGGGTATGCCCCTCCGGGAAGATTATTTTTTACATTTTAATATAAAATGCTTCAATCTGGTGCACTTTGAGCACACAATGACTAGAGACTAGATCTACTGTAACTCTAAACACCCATATGAAAAAGATCGTTTTACATTTTAATAATCAAATAATTTAACATACCAATAACCTACCATAGCCAATAACACATATATGTAATTTATTTTATTTTTGTTGTTCATTTACATCACTTTCATCTGGCAATTTTTTTGTTTAATATCAGGTGTCAAAAGAGCATGGCACCTACAGTAGTAATGAATGTGCCAAATGTCTCCACTTCATTCCACTGCCCCAGTGACTTGAATATCTTGGGTTCTGCCAAGGGGTTTACTTCCTTAGTTTTTCTCTCATATATCATTTGTCCTGCCTTGTTTCTTGATCCATATATGTTTTTGTTATGCTCTATACATAAAATGACTTGACTTGATTCGATTTAGTGATGATGGCACAGTTGGCATCCTGCCTGAGAGCACTTTATTTTTCTGGGGGTCTTAAAGAATAGCTCTAAGGCTCTCCTAAAGGGAAAGTCTCTGGTTGGGGGGCCATTGATGCTCAATCGCATACAGGTGGCAAGGTGTTCCCCCTGCAAGCGATTTCTCAAGTCAGTCTTCACCTGTAAATACAAACATAATAATCAACAGACAAGTGGATGTGGAGCCCATGGGGTTGAGATTTGAATAAAGTCAAATAATGATATCACTTGTTCAAGTATCCTACCCGGTTCAATGTTGAGAAATCCCTCTCACAGTTTACACTGGAAACTGGGATGGTCAGGCCAATGGCAGCCAGCTTGCTCAGAGATGGGTAAAGCAGCCCCCATTCACCCACCTCTGATGCCAGTTCCTGCATCACCTGCTGCTGATCCAAGTCCTGAGACACATGAAACACAACATGAACATCAATCCAGGCTATAGAACTACTGAAAAAGAATGTTACTGTAATTCATTATGATACCTTGAATGGCCCAACTATCAGCTGCTGTTTAAAAGAGGACCATTCCTGCAGCACCTCATTACAGTCAGCCTGTAGAAATTTGCCGGCAAGGAGCTGCAAATTGGCTACGTAAATGGCCTCATCTCCAGTTGCTGCCTGAGGGCTCAGCACATGGAAGGCCCCTAAAAGGTCCAGATTCTGGAACCTCCTCTCCAGACTCTCCAGCAGGCCATTGAAATATGGATCCATCCAGAGATGGGGTCGTTACTAAAAAAAAGTAATATATTACATATTACATATTACTTTAAAAAAAAGTAATATATTACACTACTTCGTTACTCTCTGCATAAAGTAACTTGTTACTTTACTCGTTACTTTACTCGTTACTTTACTCGCAGGGCCGGCCCGCCCCTCCCTACAGGCAGATCACGCAGACTGCGGCGCACCTACAGTGTAAACGCGCCACAGTTTTGCCTCTGCGAGACTCCACTTGCACCCCCAATTACTATTGCATTAAGGAAGACATAACACATGTCTCTCTTTTTATATGCTCTAAAATAGGCTACCAGCCTACCACAACAAGCTAACAGTCTGTGAAACGTCAAGACACTAATGAATGAAACCAGTTCAAGACGCATTATCCTAATTACTTATTTAGTATTCCAAAACTTAGTAACAGAGATGGTCAAACTAAAGTGGTAGAGACATGGCAGAATTCCTACAATGAAGCGGGACATTGAACTGTTCACCCGTGAGAGGGCGATCAACAAAAGAGAGCGAGCGGCCCCGTTGAGGGAGTTTACAGATGAAAAGACTCAGCCATGTTTATGCAGCACTGCACATGGAGATGTGGTCTCGCAAGTCGCGCAGATTACATAGGCCTACATGTATATAAACCGATATAAACCTGCGGCGGAAACCCCTCTTGTCTGTCAGTGAGTGTGATTATTTTATAAAAGTAACGAAGTAACGCGTGTCGGGGCAATGTTAGTAACTGTAGTGTGATTACTGAATTATAAAAGTAACGCGTTACACTACTCCGTTACCGACAGAAGTAATATTATTACCAACTCTGGATCCATCACCTAACCATAACAGCAACAGATTATTAAACTGAAACTTGTGTCCATATTCAAACCACTTAATAGGCATCTAGTATTAACAGGATCCTCCCACTTAAGCACCTTTTGTATTATTGTTTGCTACGATTGCACTTTGACTTTAGCTCTAGATTATGCTCTTAGTCGCTTGTTTAGAAAGGAGATATACTTGTGAGTTCTGGTGAGTAGAAGCGTCTGCTAAATGCTAAATCTAAAACAAACATACCTGGCTCCTGAACCGGCCCCAGAGCTCTTCCCTGGTCAGTCCCTTTCTTGTCCCTCTCTTGTTCCTCTCCTCCTCATGGACAATACTTCTTCTTCTTCTTTCGTGTAACGTTAGAGGTCCAACTCGGTGTCGTGTAGCCATGCCCGCATCTCTGGTCCTAGGTCGAAGAGGCCGGCTTCCGAGGGTGGTCTATATAAGGGGCAGATGGTGATTATATGGACAGCGGTCTGCTCAGGGTCACCGCACTCGCATGCCGCACTGTCCGCCAAGCCCCACGTCTTCATCGATGTTTTAAAGCGACCGACCCCAGTTCGTAGATGGTTCAGAGTGGTCCACTGCCGGCGCGGTAGGTTGTCTCCTCCAATGGCGCCATCTCCTGGGTCCCAGATGTAACGGTGGATTCGGGAGGGCCCGGCTGACTCCCACTCCTGCTTCCAAGCTGCTGCCAACCATGCATCTCTGGAGATGTCCTCAGAGGTGGAGTTGAGCATCTCTTGAGCTGCTTTGTTGTAGGGGTGGTGGGACTTGAGTCTGCTTGGAGGTGCTGGTGTTATTGTGGTGTTGTGCAGGATGTGCCAGTCATACTTTTGTGCCTTCCTGGCCAGGGCGAGGGTGGCAGCCTCCCGTCGGAGGCCGGCCGGTGCTACAATACTGTAAGCCCCAAGTCCCGCAGGGTTGTCCAGGTCTGCGTGGAGCTTTGAAAGGAAAGACCCTGGTGGCTGATGGTTTCCAGCATCTTTAATTGCTCAGAGGCAGGCCATTGTCACAGGGACCTATAATAACAAAGACGGAGTAGGTGTAAATGCAGCAGCAGCAGATATCTGGTTAGTATGAGCAGTGTATGGACAGTGGTGTCAAAAATAAAACATTGGAAAGTATACCTGCACTTTCAGAGCAAGGAAGTTGACATTTTCCTTCTGGAACAGCCTTGACAGCCTGCTGATAGGTTGCAGCACATCTGCTTGGAGGTAGACCGATGCCACAAAGCGGTAGGTGGCCAGAAAGCCATACAACCCCTTGGCTGTTGGGCATTTCTTATGCTCCGTCTCCTCAGCCAAGGCTGCTAGGACAGCGGTCAGGTTCCGCTGTAGGTTGGAAACAGCCATGGCTTGCGAAAGCCAGCGTGTGTCCTTCACTTCCTAAAAATATTTAGAGCCACAAGATGAAAGCATATTAAGTCATATCAGGTGCCTCCAAATATGGAAGATGTTTTTTCCCTTTTAAATTACCTTCACTTTCAAGTTATAATAATTCATTTATTTTATATAGGCGCCTTTCAAGGCTCTCAAGGTCGCCGTACAAACACATAAAAAAACAAGATACACAATACCTAACACCAGCATAAGAAACATAAACAAGACAATGCAACAAATCAAATAAATAAAACAGAGGATGTGTGATGGATAATGATCAGGGTGGATATGCGAGTGTGAAGAGATATGTTTTGAGGCGTGATTTGAAAATGGGGAGAGAGTCAGTGTTGCGGATGTCAGGTGGGAGGGAGTTCCAGAGGCGGGGTGCAGAGCGGCTGAAGGCTCTAGACCCCATGGTGGTTAAACGGAAGGGGGGTGCAGTGAGGCTGAGGGAAGCAGAAGACCTGAGAGTGCGGATGGGTGTGTTGATGTGCAGGAGGTCGGAGAGGTACAGAGGAGTGAGGTTATGGATGGCCTTAAAGGCGAGGAGCAGAATCTTAAAAACGATACGGGATTTGACGGGGAGCCAGTGAAGTTGCTGAAGAACAGGAGTGATGTGGTTAATGGAGGGGGTTCTGGTGAAGTTATCCAGGCCCAAGCACTCTGCTGCAGCCTGGAGTACAGCTGTGCGATTCGCACTGTTCCTGAAGTACAGGTGTAGCTGCTGTAGAAGGTCCCTGAAGGAGTTCATGTAAGCCACTCCTGATGAGGCGTCCTTGCAGCACAGGGCGAGGCGGTGTGCGGCACATGCAACCGACACCATCCATGTGAAGGTGTCCTGTAGCTGCTTGGCCACTCCATTCACTCTCCCTGTTTCAGGACAAACATGTTTTAGTTTTTAAGCTGCAGTGAATATCAACCTTGTTTTTGTTGTTAGTTCATACCAGTCATGACAGCTGCTCCATCTTTCCCCAGGCCATAAATCCTCTGGGTGGGAATGTTCTTTTTTGTGAGGATCGTTCTTATTGCCTTGACTATGGTGTCAGCTCTGCCATCGCTGACTGTCACCAGGTCCAGAAATTGGCTGTAAAGCAGCCCATTGTTGTCCATGTATCTGATGAACATATTAAACAGTCAGACTGACTAAGCCTTATTTGTTTATTATTACTACCCAATCAGTGGCGGTGGAATATGTTGTTGCCCCGATCAGATTCAATCCAGACTATGTGAAAGAACAACAAGCTAGCAACCGCCAACCAACTGTGATTGGTTTAAAGAAATAGAGCGTTTCCCAGGTCCCAGGTTCCTAGGTCTGGCTATGCAAGACTATATTAAACATAATAAAGACACATCATTCAAAATTATTTTAAGTCTTAATTGTTGTCATTTTTGGAATAAAATTATACCTAACGTGAACATCGAGCTTCTTCACAGACACATCTGTGGTCTCGTCCACCTCAAGCCCAATTGCCACAGAAGCACTGATGTTTGCCAACGACACTGCCTAGGATTTCTAACATCTCATCGATGACGGGGGGAGATGTGTAGTTGGTCTTCCCGATCTTAAAGAAAACAAATGCATTTAAGATTAAATTTTGCACACTTCTTTTGTGATGAAGTTGATTAAAGAAAGCATTAACTTACCTTTAACTTCTCAAAATACTGGCAGCCAAGTAGTTCTGCGAGCTCCAAAAGGTCAGCATAATTCGTATGGTGAGCATGTTCTTTTTTTGTGAGGTGGTAGAGGCACTTAAAACCACCAATCACCGCTTCGTGTTCAAGGGTGATAACTGGGTCAAAGGCGACCAGCACTGAGGACCCTGTTGAAAGGTAAACAAAATAAAAATAAAAATTGTAATGTATACTACTACTGTGTTGTTTGTACTATGTTGACCTGCTGAGGGACTGCAGATGAAAACTAGCTTAGGTCTACTAGCTAAATCTGTCACATTTACATTGATGTAAAACCTGATATGTTGATAAATGTGCATTCTTTTCTTTTAAATAAATAAACTGAAACAGTAGGCCTACAGTATTAGTGAATGTTACCTTGAATCAGTGCGCCGTGTGCCTTCACACTCTCTTGATGGTGCTTAGTGGCAGCATGCTTATCAAGGTAGTCGCTTCGGAAAAACATGCACCCAACCTCAAGAAATGGCCGTGTAGAAATCCCCCGCTTCGGTGCTTGCTTGTGTTGGCGGCACAAGCGGCAGAACATTCCTGTCGGGACAAGATCTTTGATATATATATTTTTTCTTTAAGAGGTTGTGGCTACTGTATGATCGTTAAAACATCTGAGAGATCAAGCCCCTAACTGCTCCATATGTTAGATACTCACCATGGTTAGCTGTGTTGTACAGCCAAGGTTTGAACTTCGGGTTCTCCATCCACCCTGGATCAAATCCTGATTGCCGGTGCCCTGCTCTTTCTGATCCTCCTACCTCTGACCCTCTGACAGCTGCAGCTGCACCTTGCTCCTCTCTTCTATCCTGAGCTGCTCCTTCACCTCCTCTGCTCTGGCCTACTCTCATCGCATGTCCGGTCTAGTACGAGATATCAGTCAATACAATTGTAAATTTAAACAACTACTTAAAAACTATTTCCCAAAAAGTGTGTATCCATTTGCTCCCCTTTCAAAACATTGCTGCCAGACAACAGAGACCCACCTCCCTAACTTCACCCAACTAACCTCCTCCTCATCACCACGATCATCACTTCTCTTTCGTTTGCTGACAATCCAGCATTTTAAACTCATCTGAAAATAACATAAAATGGGATGAACAATCTATT